TTAATTTTCCAAAAATTAGTCTTAAAGACGAAAAAGTCATTCTTTAACACATTGTGGCTCGACGCAGACTGCCGCCCAGCCGCTTCAGACATTTTTGTCTCCAAGCTACGAAGATAAAAAGAAACAAAAAAGGGCCTTTCGTTCGCGGGCAGCGATCGCATTTTACAACAGATCGATATCGCATTGCACTTTATCCTTTTAGATACGGCGTTTTCCTCAACACTGTATCTCTGAGACGGTAAGCCTCGCCGCGGATGGCGTGTAAACTGTGCATAACGCTTTTCGCTATGACATTGGAATAGAGTTATAAATGAATAAATTATAATTTGTTTATATATTTTCATGTAAAGTCACTATAGTTCATTATTCCTTCCCGTCATTATTTTAAGGTAATTTAGTTTTTAAATATGTTAAACAAAAATCATGTTATCTAGTGCTGTAGAAGTACAGTGTTGTACAAAGGTTTTCGCAATTTTTTTTATCGTGTTAAAGCGAAACTGTGTTACAGGTTGCAGTGTTATACGAGGGTTCCCGCAATTTATTCTATCGTGTTAGAGCGAAGCCATGTTGTAAGATGCTGTGCTGTAGGAGGGGCTACCTGTATGATCATTGTGCCATATCGTTGACGAAATTTTAATTGCACGGGTATGCATTTAATAATGTGAACGACTTCGCCTGCTACTACTGCCATGTGCCCTGGTTCTTTTGTTACGATATAAGCAAATTCATCTGGTATTAATGTTGCTAATCCTAGAGCATTTTCAATAACCGTCTGTTCTAACAGGCATCTTTGCGTTATTATGGCCCTGGTCGTCATTTGTTTCCTGAGATGTTTTTCTACGTGGACAAATTTAGAATTTAGAATATATGTAAAGATGTCCAAATTTTCCACTGGTAATTTCTTCATTACTGCAAATGGTTCTTTCCTTGGTGGTCTCAAGAATGAATAATTTTGGGTGTTCTGTTCTTGCTAATTTATATCCGCACAATGGTTCTCCTATTTTGGTGAGCAAACGTTATTTTTTGAGTTAATGCGTATGCTGTTGGTGTTGGCATCATTGAATGAGTTACGGAGAGGTCGTTTATTCTTGTTGCTATTCCTTCGTAGAGTACATTATAAAGATCAAATTTGCATGGTGACATAGGCTATGGTTGCCAGAATGTATGTCCGTGTTCCAATTCCCGACAAGAGTCGTCGAGAGAAGACGCATCGGACTCCTGATTTTAATAATATTCTATCCGATTCCATCCGTACGGGAACGTATCCTGATTTTAGTAAATTTTTGCTTTTACTAGCACGATTACGCCTTGCCATGTTCCTTAGGCATCACTATACTGTGCCCCGTGGCATTTTCCATCGTTATTAACGCTTTCTGCCATTGTGAAAGACTTTCATCTTTGTAATGTTATCTCGTATGCCGGAAATGTATGCGTCTGGACTGAATGATATAGTTCCTTCTTCATGCAATCTTCAGTGTTCTTCTGTTGTTGAATATATTCAGCATATTCGTTATATACGATGGACATATGTGAATGCATTCCGCAGTAATGTACAATTCTAGATATTTAGATTTCGCATTGCCGAACACAGACATGATTTAAATTCTGATAATTGTAATAGCTAGATATAAACTTATTCGGTTTTCGTCGATTCCGTATTGATATTACAATCTCCAATTAAGTTTTAATGGTATCATTACATATATTGTTACATTAAGGTGTTCTCTACTGCAACCAAAATCTATTAATGTTTCGGTCATTTTGAGCAGAATGAACAATACGTAGCGCATCCTGTTAACATTTCATAAATTAAGTTAGTTAATAGTCGTAGTTGTTAGTGGGTTATGGTTGTTAATAAGCGCTTTACAGTTTAATAAGTTTATTTAGTTTATTTCCTTTTTTATAGAAATATTTCTCTCCCCCTTTTTTTATAAATATATTTTGTTTAATTTATAATGTTTTCTTTAGTTTCTGAGCCGAATGTTTATCGCCATCCCCTCAGCTAATTTTGCGTGTTCTTCGGGGCTCATTTCCATAAAGGAACTTAGGCAATGGATATACTTGGCATTGACCTGCGAAACTTCTCGAATTTGTTATAATTTGGTGCCACATTTCCTTTGTAAATTGCTCGGCGTCGAAATATTCATTTACGCAATCTTTACAGTATCGTGGTGGTCTGTTCTGGTGGTAAAATTCACCCACCGTGCGAATGCACTGGGTTGCCAGGAAGAGTGCGTACGACTGGGGATAATCCCATGGTCTCACACCGTCTCAGCGTATACCCGTATACTCTCGGATGGTTTTATTTGGAACTGGCATTGTTCCTCTAACAGAGACAACATTAATTTTTAAAATATGCTATTTTAAGCTTGTTAATATGCACAGTTCGGCAACCGTTATCTGTTTGAATGCGCATGTTTTGGTTTCGAAGAATTTCTAATACTTTATGTAGACCGGTATATTGCTCTGATAATTTACCCTTAATAATAATAGATATGAACGTAGTTCTAGTAGAGTTGTTTTTTCGGAGGGCTTGTGCTGCGATATTTTTCTAACCTACTGCGTAGGAATACTAGCGAGAAAAGGTCTTTTAGTCTACAATAATCTTCAAGTTGTATTTAATGTGTTTATTTTTCAGAGAATTCCAATTACGTGGAAAGATCAAGAATTGGTATTTATTACCTGCTTCTCGTTATTTATTGTTTTAGGATTTGATGATATTAGCTGGTCGACAAACGTCTCGAAAATCTTTTACGGTGACGTTTCGCAGTAACTGTCTTCTTCGGCTATTTCGACGATAAAAAACGGTCTTCGATTTTCCGATCGAACCATAATCAGTTCGACGTTTACAGACTAAAGTGAGGATCGAAGGGCAATAACTCTGCACCAGTACTCTCGATCGAACCGGATTCAGTTCGACGTCTACGAACTCGGTAAAAAGCCTGACCTTTATTTCATGCGTGACTCGACAACTGGCGAGTATGTCTTCCCGAATCACTCGTCTGTTACCACCATTTTTAAGACTTCGATTGCGATGCCGAACGACACAATGATTTGGATTTATTATTGACTTAAACACTTCAACTTTCACT